GCTCCATAAAGCTGTGCCTATATATTATAATGTAATGTTTTGAGTATAAAACGCAACAGTGTATAGTACGCACCTGTATGGCGCGCCGAATGGTTGATATTTATATCCAGAAAAAGCACAAAAATTAAGATTTAATGGCTCAAGTTTAATATAGAATAATAAAGGCTCAGATAGGCCTAGTATGCTAATTAAAAGTAGGCAAATTAATGAGCCAATATCAGATACTTACAAGTTTGGGGCTCTCTGGGAAGAAAATTCACAGTGAAAGATTAAAATCTTTGGTTTTTCATTAGCTTCACGTTTTAACAGGTTATCAATCGATTCTTTTACAAAAAAATTTAATGCTTCTTGAATGTGGCCACCATCATATTCATATGGATATCTACAATCCAGTATCATATAGCTATTCCCAACCGTGGGGTATTTTCCATTTAGTAAGTCTGCCATCTGAAATTTTAAAGAAATAAGTTAAATCAGGTTAAATATTACAGACTACAGAATTTCACAAGCTTTTATCCTCTATGATGTACAGGCTGTGTTTCAGATTACTATAATATTTACTGATAAAAAACTTACAACTTTTGGAGATATGGACTTGAGATCTTTATGTTTACCACATACAGTAGGTAGACTATAAGGTCGACTACAATCAGCTATTAATTCTACATCATCTGATAATCTTTCTACAGCTGATTTAATTCGTTCATCTTCTCTTCCAATATTTATTTCCTCGTCAATTTTATCATCCTTTTTGAAATCATGGATAAGCTTTCTTGGTCTCTGCATATAAGATGGTGATGACGTCACGTCGTTCTCTATCATACGTCTTCTCATATCAAGTGATAGACTCCTTCTTAGTCCCGGTTGCTTACTGAGCTGAAACTACATAAATAACAACAATTAAATATATTGCATTTTATATGCAGATCTGCAAAGCTTTTAATCCCGTTTATCATAGATATTACCTGTCCACTTGGTTATAACTGACACGTTCACACCATTAGAGCTACGCGTGACATTGAGTTGCAAATTACAGACGTTACCAATCATTTCATTACTGATTTTGAATTCGATTTAAAAAAAATAATAATTCTAGAGTGATTTTTAAGTATTCTCAGTCGCATGACAGCCTCAAAATATAATTGATGAAATTATTACCTGATTTACGGAAGGTGTAGATTTATTTTCTTCAATATCCATTTCTACATCACGAACCTGCAAATTCAAATAAAATTGAAAAATGAGTTATGCACCAGCTGATATTTGCTAAATGAAAATCCCCGCTTCAAGCTACTCAGCTTAAATATCAAAATATTCAATATCGAGAAAATGATACTGTTTCATAACATCCCATTCTATTTTAGTTTATATGAAAGATCAGAGAACCTGGACATAAAATATCCTTACCTTATATTTATCTTCTTCAAAACTCTGATAACCCGACGTCATGGAACTCGACATCATTTTACCATCTGGACTGTTAAAGAAAATTGTTCCAGCATCCATTTCACAATCATCGTCGAAATCCATTGGCATTGGCAATCGATCTGAAATGACACAACATGAATAATGAACACTAACATAAAGAGGCGAAACAGTTTTCAGACAGTAAAATACCAAGAAAAACGTATACATACAAGATACAGAAATGTCATTAAAATCATCCATGGTTAAAGTAAATTAGATCTGTCAGACTGAACGTCAACTTGGAAATGACAGTCTAGAACACCTGATGTGCTTTTCTACCCCCTACCAGATGTGGTATAATATACAACAGAGTGTTTGTAGCCAGGCGAGACAAACTAAGCACCTGGCAGCAGGGATGATCGCACCTATCAGTCTAAATGTTATAAACACACTGTATATTGAAGGGTAACAGATTGGATGGATAGACAATATACCAATTAGTCGTGTATATTACAACAAGGGCATATCCAGCCAAAATATCATTTAGCTATAGAATTTTGTACAAGATACAGTAGAATATTTGAGGTGATTAGTGAACCATATAAAACAATGTTTATAGAACTATTTAGTCCCCATTAACAAACTTTTAATTTCATTGTTAAAAACTTTCCCAGATATTCAAAGAAATCTCAGATGTTCACACTTTAAAACTGTTTGAATCAGAACCTGAACCAGTAATCAAAATAAAGAAACTGGTAAAAATAAAATCAATCAGTAATTTTGTCTGGCTTTGTGTAGTATCAAAGTGAATCAGAACTGATATTGATCCAAATCAAACAGCCATTTTCAAGAAAAGCTCACAATAATTTACAACAGCATGTACAGAAAAGCGGTTTACCAACAAATAAATTTAAAATCCAACATATAAAACACAAGCCACAAATGCATTCAGTCCTTCTCTAACGAAATCCAGAAATAAAATGAACACATCATCTTGTCCTATGCCAGGGATATTGACATACAGTAAAGCTGATCAGTGTCTAGTGAAGCTGTAAGCCTGTCAATGGGAAAGGATCATTTACTCTGTAAACTAAGTCTTGGAGGTTTATGGGGCATGAAATAACAAGTGTCTGACTAATACTTCTTTAAACCTGATTAACTATTGGAAGTAAAAACAAAACTGATCTCTCAAATAAAAACATTGACACTAATTTCAACTAGTTTCCTTTCACGAGGTGACATTAAACCTGATGATCCAATCCTGATCTCCCGTATTTTAATCCCGATCTAATCTGGATTAAGAGTCGTAGTTAATTTCCCATAAGAGTCAGATTAAGAACTAAACAAATTTTTAGAGTAAAATTAAAATTAAGGTTTTGTAGAAATCATGAGACAAACTCATCAACTTGTAAACATTAATGTAAAAAGTCCCTATCCTATCTAGTTTTGATAATCTAATAAAAATAACCTCAAATTAACAATATTGCTTCAGAGAAATTGTGTTCAAATTTTTGACATAAAGTTTTAACAAGATACAAAAGAAACTTTAAAATGAATGTTGCTATGCAATGTTATGAATGTTGCTATGCAATGTTATGAATGTTGCTATGCAATGTTATGAATGTTGCTATGCAATTTTATGAATGTTGCTATGCAATTTTATACATTTTGCTATGCAATTTTATACATTTTGCTATGCAATAATGCGAATGTCATAATGAATTATAATGGATACTATGCTACTGTGTTAAAAGCGACACTATGCATGGTTATGAATGCCACTATACAATGCTGTGACTGCCACTATGCAATGATGTGGTTACTATAGTACAATGCTATAAATGCTTAGTTATACAAATCGATAAAAACATTCGTTGGTATGAAAAATAGCCGATATTTGTGCTACAATGCAATGTAATACATATAGATGAAAATGAACTATGTTGTGGGAAAAATTTCGAAAAATATCTATAACTATCAATTTTCAAGTTTCAATTCAGATTGATTTACAAGGAGGGCTGGCTTTATCTATCTATAAGGTATAATTAAATGTTCACCTTAAACTTTTGACCCGATGAACGTCTACGAATAACACTTATTACCTAACACAATATATGATGAGCTCTTCTCCTACTTTGACTTATTGAAATAAAACAATGAAACAACCCCAGGGTAGACTAACACCTCTTTGATACCCTGGTGGAGTAAATCTTTCTTGACATGGGTGAAAAAACACTTTCTCTTCATGCCTCATTTCTCACGCAACCTGTAGCTGTATATAAAGTATACATTTGACCTATATTCTGGCAACGATCTGAAATCTTTTTTCTTCAAAACAAACACAAACAGCCATAGTATCGTCAGAAACTAATTTGCAATACATATGCTATAGGCAAATAGGTATAACATAAAGACAACTCAATTAGATTTGAATAAAACGCCATTATAAAGTTTAAGGTCACAATGCTAGGTCATGAAAGACAAGGGAGGTAATTTCAAACTGGGAGTTCAAATAAGAGAGGCATTTTGGACAATATTCCATACGATCAAACACATGCAAAGACGAAATACCTTAAGATAACGATGTGTAGGCATATGAAAAATCATTTTTAGCTTACCTCCATTTCCAAGTAAAGATGAAAACGAAGACATGTTGTATAAGTTGTAGAAATCCTAGAGAGAGATGAGCACTGAATCACTAAAACACAGATAATGATGGTCAACTGATTGTGACTAGTTTTATATGAACATCCAGTCGTGGTGGTTACTATGTTGATTCTATGTATAATGACACACGACTAATCAAATTAAAGATTCGTTGATTGCTAAAAACACTACAGCCGGCGACGAGATGAAAGTATACACGAATCAGTTCCAGCCGTTAGTCCAACCTCTAATCCACAAGTCTATTGTTTGGCTATTACTACGTCAGCAGGGTCGCACCTTTACATGGACTATTCACCTGGGTGACTATTGTTTTAACCAGAGCTTTGATTATACACCGATTATCCCTAGATGTTAATTGTACTCAGTAAAACCACGTTTCCTCTATATCGTCCATATAATGAAATTTAATATCAAAGTTTATTGTTTAACTTCAGTCGTTAATCCGATCACATGACCTCTAGTTTTAATGAGAACATATTTTAACAGATAATCAACAATAAGAGTCGAAATCGTGTTCACACATGTTTAAAGAAACCCGCCGATATATCACATTGCCTGTATATATCCGATAACATTTCTCAATGAATCACCTGTATAGCCTTAATACATATTGATCAGACTTGATAATGAGAGCTATCAATAACAGACATTGTACAATACCCTTTATACCGAGGTGGCATCATATTCAATATAATACTATCTTCTAGCTATTTCTAGTAGTGATTTCAATTCAATCCCAAATCTTCTCATTGTCTCCTGATATGACGTTTACCTTAATATGCCTGGGAGTCTCACTAAGTCGTCTAGATTAAAATGTTCAACAAAACGATGGATGATAATGCTTGACTTCCATTATCTCAAATTCCCATCCTTGTTGGGTAAAAAGTCTGAGGAGGTGGAAATATTCTTGAGTCTGAAGACCCTATTAAAAAAAGAAGATAAGAGGGTAGTCTTCGGGGTTTGTGGACATGGGAACACCATAGCAAACTCTGTGTTGAATAATTTAGAGACTTTAGCCATGTCCACATTTGTTACGTGAATCCGTTCAATCAAACGATCTATTTAAACTCAAATATACAGTGCTATTTTAAAGAGAATCTCAGAAAAAGTGATGAATCTTATGTGTGAGAATGGAGGTTGAATTTCGATGAACGTTATTCTATATGAGTTTTAATAGTAGAAATGTGAAGTTAAGAAATTTATATTTGAGGATTTCAGACTATTTTATCGAAACATTTATATATAGAGAACAAAGATGATTTGAAATAAGGTTTCCACTCAAAGTTTTAACTTTAAAGTTTGTTGACCTAACCATAATATAGATAAACAATATTTTCATAATTTCTAGGGGTAAAATCTGGGCGGTTGACTTTATTACAGGATAATCTGTATATATATAAAGATAATAAAACTTTATATAGAAGAGGTCAAGAGGACCCTTGTAATAATACAAGATAACCATTCCATTAGATAATCCACAACAATATTATTATAAGACCTTATTCTAAGTTTCTGTCCAGTTTTGATCTTCTAACCGCCAACGTTTAATACACTTTAAGGTGCAAAATCAGTTCAATATTTTTACACTAAAGACCATTATTTATTCTCCAGAATAATCTCACGGGTAAACATTTTAGCTTTTGAGCGAGCGATTCAAGGATATCAATATTATGTCTTATAAGCTCATTTGCTTCAGATTTAAATTGATATTTAACGTCATTTTCTAATGCTATGTGTTATAAAGATGTACATTTGAGTTAGAGCTACTTTTCAAATACATGAAGATGAAAGTTGAGAGAAATGGGCAGATATTGAGTAATTTTTGGATAATGGTTCCTTAATGCTTAGGGTTCATTTTGCACTTGTAAATTTAAAATTCCATGTGATTACAGCATGATGTTTGTAAGTCTACAGATAGGTTGTGTCAAAATTAAAACATTATGACAGTTCCAATGCGAGACGGTCACTGTGATAGTCTCGGGTTCTGTGGGAAGGGAATTTTGTTGTTTATAGAAACGCAATCAACATTAATTGTTTAAACTAAATCAAATTAAATGTTTCAAACAAAATTTTAATTTTAAAACGACTTAATTAATTAGTTAAAGTTGTTAATCTGTCGGTAAATAATTTTAATCCACTTCACTAATTTGTTAAATCTGGATTGAATCCTGATTAAATGAATAGTCTTAAACTACGGAAACCCAGTCAGGTTCTTGATGACATTGATAGTTGTAAACCCGACAGTAAATCACTGTACATAGATACGAAGAAACCCAGAGTGTTACGTCTCCATAAAACTTTCCATGGACAAAAATTTACCCCATCTATAAAGTAATCCAAGTGCCAAACATATAGACAGAATAACAAGTCTAAAAATCTTCCATATTGACAAATAACACTCGATTTTAAACAAATTTGGGGATTTTGAGGCAATACAGTAATGTGTTTAAACAAAATCTGGCACAACTAAAAATTGTTATCTTAAAGTAAAAAGATAATCACACAATTACTACATAAGATAAGATAGAGTGCATGTTGGTTATGAAAGAGGCAAAATGTCAGTTATATATTTTCAAATATATTGAATTGGATGTTACTTATATCATGAAGTAATAGGTCAAATATAAGACAACATTTTTGTCAACACAACATGTCAACATTTTACTTTGTGAATTTTCAACTTAAAATCACGGTAGACAACTCCATTTAATAAAACAAGGAGATAGCAAAATGGCTAAAAAGAGAAACATGAAACTTCGATCTTCAAAGACAAAATTTGTCGAAAATGTACACAAAGGCTAACGTTCAATTATTAGATTTGTGGTTTTCTTTGACTTTTTTGATAAAGCAAATTTAAAAACTGTGTCTGTAAAGTAGGGACTGTATCGAAGACACCAGACTCGGGTTCTGTAGGAATACTGGTGTTTATAAAAACGCAATCAACATTAATGTGTTTAAACTAAACCAAATTTGTTTGTTTCAAACAAAATTTGAATTTTAAAACGACTTAATTAATTAGTAAAGTTGTAAATCTGTCGGAAAATAATTCTAATCCACTTCACTAATCTGTTAAATCTGGATTGAATCCTGATTTGATGAATAGTTTTAAACTACGGTAACCCAGTCAGGTTCTTGATGACATTGATAGTTGTAAACCCGACAGTAAATCACTGCTGGGAATTAGCAGGTGTAATGTCTCCAACAAGTTATGTTTTTTATTATGCTATTCGGTACCTTATTGAAAATATAATGACTGCATATTTTAAATACTCATTGGGAAGTTCAAAATTGTGTGCTTTCAACGAGATTCACTTCAAGATTACATGTATTCTTATATATTTCAAACACCGTAACAACATAATATGCCTTAAATTAACATATCAACGAATAAATAAATCTTACTTTACATGGTTTGGAAAATCAATTATAGCTGCTTTGCAAAACTTAGCCATAAGAGACACATTTGAAAATGGAGATTTTTAAGTACTCATGCAAAAAGGTAATTGAAACATAATAATAATAATTTCTTTTTTCAAGTAATGATGACCGAAGCCTTAGTTACAAAAATATAAATTATAAATTACAATTATCATCAGTAGTTTGTACTTAGCTTGAACATCGAAACATTGAACATTGAAACATATTCGATAATGGATGGTATTTAAGTGTTGTGCAACGGCGCTTCTAAAGTGACTTAACAATATTCATTCATGATTTGCAATGTATACGTATATGCCTACATATACTCTGAAGCCGTTATCAACTTGTAAAGACGTAATATATAATAGTAACAATTTGAGCCTTGGACCATTTGGTGCAGTAATTGTGGTTTATAATTGAGGACCACATGCTCAATATCATGAAAAATATGCTTCTATTAGGTTGGTCTTCAGAGGTGTATTTTTCCAAACAGACGATCTATCGACCTGAATGAGATCAATCTGTTTTTTAATGTTAGAAACAACCCAATCAGCGTCTGGTTTGTCAGATAATCTGTAACAATCTGTCCATAATATGGTTAGTAACAGTGGGATTAATTGACTATTGACTAATGAATTGGTTGACTATAACCATGGTACTGACTCATTAACCAATTAACTATGTACTGGTATATAAAATACATACTTTCTCTCAGTCTATCATTCAACATCTATTACTTGCCCTGTTCCAGTCAAATCTGATACGAATTGAAAATGGAGAACCAAGAAATTGCTGTGAGTATTCAATACCATAATCTTGTCTTCGCAATCCAGTAAAGACATTGTCTGTGGGGTTTTTTAGGTGATTTTTCTGATTATGGTTTGTGCATGAATGGCTAGAAAACAACATTATAATCCGGTTTCAATATGTTTGTATACCCTGAAAATGGATGCTACAATGAAACATTATTGATATAACTACTTCCATACGAAACTACGTATGGTTCTTACATAGCCATTCTTTAAACTTGTATTATTTGTTTTTTCAGTTTCATCTCCCACCACCGATTAGCCCTCTACGTACTAAATCACAAGCAATGAGGAAGAATTTAATGGAAATTGAAACCATCTCGTCACCTCAGTGGTGCAAAATTACCAAAAAGATTGACTACTGCAAGAACGACAGTGAACGAGTGAAATCAGCTGTAGAAAGATTATCAGATGATGTAGAATTAATAGCGGATTGTAGTCGACCTTATAGTCTACCTACTGTATGTGGTAAACATAAAGATCTCAAGTCTATTTCTCCAAAAGTGGTAAGTAACACCATATGCTTTAATTCACAAAACATGCTCATTGTAACACTAATTCAACTGGATGGGAGATATTGCTTTGAATTTTGACAATAGTGAATGGATGGACAATTTTGCGTTCAAAGTATTTTGTATTTGCATAATATAATTGTTTTTTTCATTTTAGGTTATGGACTTGCTGAATGGAAAATACCCGACAATAGATAATAATTATATGATACTAGATTGTAGATATCCATATGAATATGATGGTGGTCATATCCAGGGAGCAGTTAATATTTATATTAAAGATTCTATAGATAATTTATTAAAATTACAAGATAAACCTAGAATCTTGATATTTCATTGTGAATTTTCATCGAAAAGAGCTCCAACTTTGTAAGTTTTATCATTTATAATATCAAATATTTGCTAGTTTCAATATAAAACGTAAAATATATGAATGTATCTATATTTGAAACTGAGTCTGACAATTTGTTGTTGCGTATTATAAACTAGTGCGCTTTGGACTCAGAGATGTATTTTAAATAAATGTTTGCTTCCCTTTTCAGATTGCGCTACCTTCGATCTCAAGACCGATTATTGAATAGTGATAATTATCCTAGTCTATATTACCCAGAAGTCTATATTCTAGATGGTGGATATAAAGCTTTTTATGAGGAATCAAAGGTAAGTCTCAAAACATCATAATTTACAATTACAGTCCTCTTACATCTTTCTATCTATAGAAGATTGTTCTCGATACAAGGCATTTTTCTGTGGATTTATGTTTTTAATTTAACCGTACAAAAAATAATATTTTTAGAACATTGAGCTCTTGTGCCGATTTCATAACCAGTTGTCCCGATGATAATTTTATATCATATTACGATTTATTTATGAGTTGAATCGGGGATCAAATTTTATCATCTATGTTTTTTTTTTTCAGGAATTATGTCAACCCGCTGCCTACAGACCAATGTTACATAAAGATTTTATTAAAGAACTACATCAGTACTGGGTGAAATGTGGTGGCTCGAGATCCAGCAGTAAATCTAAACAGATGAAGCGACCAAGGACATTACGTTTATAATTGAAATGATTTGTTATCTCATCCCTTGTTATTGTTATGGATGGGGCTCTAAATTGATTAAATTGGTAATGAATATATGTGATCTCTTTATTTTTTTTATGACCAGGCTTGAATTTCTGATAAAAAGTAGTCTGTTTGTTTTGTTATTTGTTATCCAATTTGTTATAGATAAACGAAAAATAACACAAATATATTGTGTAAGGGAGATAATTCTGTGATATTTTGATATTTAATTTTATTGTAAATATAATGTATATAATAATTTATTAATTAATCTAAATTTGATATTAATCTGTGATAAATTTAAGATATTTTCGAATACCGAAAAAAACCATAACAATTTGTCTTGTATGATCAGGTGAAGTAACAAGATCGTTTCATTTTACTGAACTAAACTGTTATTTCTTTTAATTTAACGTATTTATATTGTTTTGTTATACATCATTTCACAATATGAAATATATTTTACATTATTCATTAAATAAATCTGTGATGATATTCACTGAAAGACTTATTATTTATTTTTATATGGGCATCTATCATCTTGTGATAAGTTAATGTTGATCTCTGGATTCTGATAAGGTACATGTTCTCTTGTCATTATGTATTTTCAATATTCGTCAAATGTATCAATGTAAAGTGCATTTAATAAATTTCGTGGTTATGGAATTCAAAATACTCTTGAGCTTATCTGCAATATGCTTCCATAGTTTTTGTTTTGAGACTTTCAAACACTGTTGCATTGCGGTTTCCCCTTTTAAATGAGGACAATTTGATTCTCATTTCGTTACTCTTTCTATCGTTGAGGTTACTTTTAACCAATCAAATTATTATTGTAGGACCAGTTCTAACAATGACGAATTGTGGGATAGTGAAACCCAAAGTAGAGCAATATAGGCACAACCAAAGGAATGACAGCAAATAGTATTTAACAAAGAAGGAATTTATTTATGAAATGATGAGGGTACAACAATCCAATATTATGTGTTTCAAATAGACAACAACTAAATTTACCTTTCAAACAATTTTTCTCAAGTTTTCAAACAATTTAATGTGATTATTTTAAAAATCTGAGAAATAGTCTGAAAGTGTCTCAATATGTTACAAAATAAAACATTTTCCTGGTATATCATAGTCAGTTCAATAAATATTCAATGCAGAAAATGTGAAAAACAAACGCTATGGAAAGAGACACATGATATAGGTTTAAGACCGATGAAAAATTGCTTTAAAACAGTAAACCGCTATGAGCAAACTACAAAAAGCATGAATAAGAATTACAAACAATGTTTTAACATATTTAATATATGAAGTACTAGTGATTTGTAAAATTATCTCATAAATATAACAACAAAACTACCCTTAACCAACTATAATTGTATGTTTGCATTTTTCATAGAGTTGCTTTCAATGTTTAAGATATAATCTAAGACATAGATGAATACTTTTGATTACACAAGATTATCAAAATGCATGAAAATATCTTTTTGTTTGACTACTGTAGAGTCTGATAATGTGGAAATAACATGATTTAATTCAATATTGTTCTCTTTAAGTGGCAATGTGCACCAATTTACAATGCATATTAAGAGACCTTTAGATCATAGTCGACACCTTGGAGTATAGATTAATCTATACTCCTTGGTCTCCACAGTATAATGGTAGAATTGAAACTGAATATTAGCATGAAAAGACTTTGAAAATCAGACCATTTCTTAATCAATATTTACATCAGAAGCTTATGTGTAGTTGAAAAGTTGCAGGTAATATTGAGTGACTGGCCTGTTTTATGGCGCTGGAGCATACGCTAATAAATATTATATTATCATAAAAACCAATCCCTACTTTTTTCCCCTAAATCAATGAGATCTGCAATGTCGGAATAAGTGCCTTAACATTATACTAGTGTGCATTAAAAGTGACCAGAAAAAAATTAGAGAGAAGACAAAAATAAAATATCTGTACAAGATGAATATTTATATATAATGTATAGTTTAAATGTAATATTTATATATTTACATCTTACTTCACCATCTTACACCATCTATCCTGCTAACTAAACTCAAGACTAATAAATCAAACAAAATAAATCAAACAATCAACAAGCATCAGATTGAACTGATGAATATGGTTCCTTCGTTCACTAAAAGAAATCTTTCAAATCTTTGAACATAATTTCAACAAGTTTGAGAAAACTGAAACAGGAGACTAGTTTCCTTGCTTTAGGGGTTTTACCACTTTTTTCCAACCCCCTTAAACCCTTCTTCTATGATAAAAAAAAATATAAAGGGTTCAAGACTTAAAATGACAGATTAATGAATCCAAATCATTTCACTACCTTTGTAATATTTCCTTGCATGACATACCACTGGTGGTGATCACTGGTGTAAGAACATAAATATTTGGACAAATCACAAGATCATACAAGTTTTGGTAGGAAATGACAAAATCCATGTGGATTAAAAATAAAATCAAATCAATAACGATGAAATTCAGTTTTCTACATCATTCAATTAATCTCATAAATTAAACACAAATGAAAGATGACTCAACCAATCCAAATAAGGCCACAATTTTGTCCAAACGACCATCTAAATACACTAAAGTTGGTATTTCTACAGGTTTTTCAAAATCTTTCTCAAAATTTGTGATCAAATAACCTCTTCAAAAGAACAGGCCTTTTGCATATTTTCATATGAATTTCTAATTTTATCAAATCCAACAATTTTAAGAGAATCATACCATATTTATCAACATACACGCAAACATTTATACAAACATAATTTAAACTAATTTCTTGGCTTCAAAGAAACTCTTTAAATGCTTCATCTGTAAAAAGCCTGTTATTAAAAGTATAACAGTTTGAGCAATAGACCACCATAATACACGTTGATTCGTACTTTCACTAGTTTGTCGAAATCTTTCTTCTCGATACTGAAAATTTAATGTAGATCTTTATGTATATTTAATTAAAAAAATTAACATTAAAGGGATTATAAAGATGTTTTTAAAACACTTTTGATGTATCTGAGACACTCTCAGCCTCAATTTGCACCATTTCAAATTTCAATCAGACTTGTGTGGTTCAAATAAAATTAAGCATTTTATGATATCAATATCACTAAGGTTCGTATATAGCATAAGCAGAGTTTTGCGACGATGGCATCATAAAAAAGCTAAATTATAGCAGAATCGCAGGAACCACAAATGTCCAATTGAAATGGTGCAAATTGTTTTATCAGTGTCCCTGATACACACAAAACATTTAGAAAACCTCTTTACAATCCCTTTGAAATCTTTTTAAATTCCTCACCACTTGAACATATAAATGCATTGTTTCAACCATGACAATTTCAAACATAGCAGCGGGAAATTTAGTGGATATTTTTTCCCAACTAAAGAGATATAAATAGACAAAGACATCAGCTGAACTGTTGTCATAACAGACTTTGCAAATTTTAAATGACTACTTGTTCAGATAGCAGAGATAAGGTTGCCTCATGTGACTGAATAGGGATGTTTTCTAACTAACTTACTCTTTGATAATTTTGCTCTTTGGTTATCTGTTCAACTTGATCTAATAACTGTCTAACACGTAATTGTAATTCACTCAGCTTATCTTTAGCCTGTACTTGTTGATAATCTACAGCATGTTCACCAACTTGAATATCTAGATGTACTCTCTGCAAAACACAATATGGTCAATAAACTTGGATTTGACCTTTGAATCACACAAGAAGGTCTCTATTTCTTTAGACACTGGAACAGGAAGCTAGCCAATTGTATGTCAAAGATAAACACAATCTAGTCTCTAAGTCATGTTCTAATAATTTAGTCAAGCAGTATTGCACACCCTTCGTAGACTTGAGGATGATGTGCATGATATGCCTTTCAGTAACATATCTAACCTAAGCTCCAAAACAATAACTTTTATTACAGACTAAGCCATATAATTGTAATGTAAATCAATAAGAAATACTCACCAATTGACCAGCAGAAAACCAGGCTGTAGAGTTCGAGTGTAAACAAACAACATGTTCACCAGCTGTATGAGATGTGAAGGTAAATCTGCCTTCTGCTGCATAGGTCTGCAAATATACATCATATATAGAAATAAAACAGAACCTGAAACATGTTGTTTCTCAGAGATTCACACTGTGTGATCTTCAGACAACTGATCTATTCCAGATTGTGTCCACAGAAGTTTGACAAGTAAACAAAATGCTGTTATAACATTTCAAAACATTAGCAAATCTGAATATTAGCGTGAATAGAGGCATACTTGATAAACATGAACAAAAAAACATTAGATTAAATAAGAAAACTAGTTGTGATTTGTTAAATCTATTAGTCAATAAATATTAAAGGCAACTATGTAATTTTTAGTTATTTAAACTTTTTCAAAAGTGAGAATACTATTGTCAGGTTTAACTTCATGTGATTAAGGTTAAGTCAAAAATTTAATATGAAACATAATGATTAGATGCCTGTTAGCAAAAAGGAGTTTAGCATTATGTCAATGTTTATTTTAGAAAAGCTAGAAACAAACAAGCTGCTGAATCAGTTTGATGGTAAATTTTCAAAAGCTGTAATCTGATTCTTACATTATTATCACATGAAACATTTGTTATACAATAAGCATAATAAGGGCAATTCTATCAAAGGTAAATAATATAAAAAAGGATTATTGTATAAACAAAGCAAAAAATGTTTGAAATTTTCAATTCAATGCTTCACAGCCGAAAAAATCAATGCTGTAGGCTTACCGATGCTACAGGAATACCATTGTGTTGTTAAAAACATACATACATCCACATTTCAATAATTCTAGTTACACTTTGGGAGACAAAAACGTCTGTCCTTTAACACTTTACAAAACTGAGAAGAGGGATTCCATGACATGTGAACATCATATCCCCGACAAAGGTTGTGCCCCTTATTTTGACCAACCTACTTTGTCAACAGGGGTGGTTAGATTGCATGTGGTCATTAAAACAGTACAGTATACAGCCATAATTCAACACAACACCCCTATTACAAAATGGCATTGTCCAAAAACTAATATTTTAAAGCGTTAAAACACAGAAGTTTTTGTCTCCAAAAATTTGACTAGAATTATTGAAATGTTGATGTAAGTATATTTTTAAGCAACACAATGGTAGTCCTATAGCCTCGGTAAGCTTACCTCACTGATTTTTCAGCTGTGAAACATTTAATTGAAAAAAATATGTACTTTTTTTGTACAATAGGAATTAACTATTATACAAGGTGTTGAAAACCTATAAATGTGTCAAATAAAATTTATCAAAAAAGTCAAAAACTACATTTTTCAAAATAAAGTATAATCTTTCACCCATGTAATAAATAAAACACATCTAATATCAAATCAGAAATTAATCTAAACATTTATTCAACCATAAGGTCACCCACCACTTGAAATAAAAAACTCCTAATAAAAATCCTATATAAAACTAGCTTAGAAAGTGGAAATTATAAAGGACGTGTTATGTTAAGGAAAGATACAAAATAGTGGTGGACTGAATTCCCTCTGAACTCAACTCACCCTAGACAACACAATTTTCTCATCAGGATCTCTTACTTCTACTAACATGCCAATTTCTGGGGCTGAAGGCAAGTAGTCTTTGACACTGTGGTCATATACCTGCACTTTATATTTCCCTGTAATAAGGAAGGATTGGTTAATAGATATCTATCATCAATACTGAAAAAAGCTTAATGCTTACCCTTGACAAGATGATTTTATCATCAGGATCTCGGACCTCAACATGCATACCAAGCCCATAAACAGTTGGTATATAATCATTAACATTTCTATCAAAGATTTCAACCTTATATTTACCTGAAACAAACCTTTGCATCATAAGAGTAGAAAAAATATAAATATACCACTCTATAACAGTAACATTTAAACAATATGATGTATGCATCTTTCATGCATATGTCAATTATTCATTTCTTCACCCGGACAAGTGGTATTAATATGTAACAGATGGTGCTGTTTGGAGACCAAAAAAAGCCAAAGAGGAGAATCGAAAGGGACATAAATTTTTCAGCAGCTTCTATCTTTTGATAAGCCAAGCAACGCTTTTTGTAATTAAATATCCATTACCAAAACTAGGTAACTATTGAGGTGAATAAATTCATTGACAACAAACATTGAATAAAACAAACCGGCGTCCAATTCAACAATTTCCAAACACAAGATACTAACCTACAACCATAGTTTCATCGGGAATTTCCTCTATAAAACATTTCTTTTGTGTTTCGCCGATATGAAAATAAAGGCAAGAAACATTTGATATCAAAATTAATACAGAAAAACAAGAAATAAGCATATTTTCTCTTCCAGACAACATTTTGTTACACGTCTTCACCAACCGGAAACATACAACGTGGTATACGCATGCGCATTACAGTCATTCCATTTACGCACCTCCAAAGAAAAAGTATTGTTCAGGGGAAATAACTCGTACTATATGTAAACTTAGCCCACAAAGAAAAGGTTGTTCAAAAATTACGATGCATTGAAAATAGTGTACCGGTACCAAATCGGTTTAATTGACAGAAGAAAAGCATTTGCACACCTGGATAGATCATTAAGTGTTAAGTGTTATGCATACCAATCCAATGAATTATTCAAAACTGTGCCTCTCAATACCCATACGATCTTTATGTTCAAAACTAAATACCAACTATGAAAACTCCACCCACAGATCTCTTTATTTGTGACATTGACTAGTGCTTTACATGGGAAAACAAAGAGTTGTGCTGAATGGTGCACAATTCCCATGGATGGAAGTTTATAGTGGAATACCTCAGGGAAGCGTGGGGGCCTACTTGGTCCTTCCCTATCCCTGATCTATATCAATGATTTACCAAATGCAGTCCATTCAATCATTAAATTTTCGAAGCCGATACAAAAATCTACAGACCGACACCCAATTCCTCTGACCATGAAATCTTAAAAATGTTAATCCAATCTTCACAAGAAAAAGACATAATGGTAGTATTCCAAGACAATTTAAAATTCAACAGATCAGCAGACTGACTGCTAGACACCCAGCGCCAACCAAGACGTACCATGCAAATTTAATCCGAATCTAAATTTAAATTATAAGACCAAACACTCCTGCATTGCGCAAACGTACTCATTACAATTTACAACCAAGTCTAGCTGTAAGGCGGTCTAAAAGCTTGCCAGCTTAAACAGACCGAAGATCAGTAAACTACTATCATCTAAATATTTTGGTCTGGTTAATGACTAGGAAAATCAAAGTTATCTCCCTTGGTACCCTGTAGCAATGTAAACGGCATAATAGATTGTTAGAATGGTCGTTACCGTCACAAATCTCATGCTCATGAATATTCCTAGTTAGTTTTGATCAATGAGAATGGCACAAGCGAAGGTTTATAACGGGGCCATAGATGTACATATATATATAACTCCATGAACGGGACCAAAAATATTTAGCCGACATCCCAAAAAAATAACGATATCGTTGTAATTCATCACAGAATTAAAACAAACATACACCTTAAAGCTTAAATGCATATGCTCGTTGCTTAATTTTGGCAAATATCTGCTCTTTATTTCCACACAGAAATTCGTAAAAAGCACATATCCCGATTTCCTCTCCGTGTTTCTTTAGCTTACCTCCATATACTTTATTCAGGCATTGTATTTGCCAGGAATATCATCACGTTTTCCTAGGCATTAACTTTGAAAGGACTAATTATAGATTTCCTTGTAATTATTTAACATTAATTGGGCGAAAAAAGAAATGCGTATCGCCTGAAAGAATGCGAATATTTTCTTGTCGTATCAGTGTTAATTCATGTTTTAAGCGTAGCGTTTTCTTTTGTATGTAGCCAAATACCTATAAAAATATTATATTTTGATAGACATTTGATACAAAACCAACAATTAAAATATGGATAATGTCACGGTCTTTTTATAAAATGTCGAGACATCTACAGCCTATAATATACGTAGAAACAACAAAAATCCTTCTAAGCTTTTCAAGCCTTTAATTAATCTGGATTCATTTACATCTGCGAACTCGACGAATTTGTCGTAGGACAATGGACAAGAAATGTGATCTTGATGTATCACGGAATACACAGGAGATCACATGGTCTGTCAACCCCTGATCATGTGACGGATACCATGTCGCTGATCAAGATCTGTCAAAATCTGATACGAGAAAGACGTGTTAATATTAAAACCAATACGATTATGTGAAAAATGAGCAGGTAAACTAAATTGATTGCAAGAGAAGTTCGTTGGCTGATAAAATATATTTAGTAACGTGACCAGTATTTTGATTTCGGTACATTACTCTGTGAACAGAACAGAGCTAGAGATATCTATTGTTTAGAATATTTTGACAGAAGATAGAATAACAGAGATTAGATTTCTTAATACCAACACAAATACTTTGACAAAAATTGTGAATACAAGGCGTGAAAATCTACCAAATCAAGCAAAATATAACATAAGATTATGAATAGATTACTAAACTGTGAAAGCAACGATTCTTTTACATATTCAGGTTGGTGTAGTTTTAGACAAGAAATGACAATTTCAATAGTTTCCATATCGAATACAGATATTCGTCTTTTCATCAGCCTCACGAAAAGGTGTTTTTTAGAACATAAAACATACGTAGGATCGGTATCCCAGTTATAACCAGATTTTATAGAGCTTAAGAGCCTCTAAGGCAGTGGTTTCTAATATTTTGAACTCCTACCGGAACCTCATTACGCTATGGTACCCTTACCTCTTTTTCTTACACGTAATGGAGAATCAAAAAATAAAGAGGCAAATTAAATGTGATCATTATAAAACACTATATTGTCAAAGATGTTCTGAGACACTTTTTGAGAAGTTAACTGGTAGACTACCCCATGGTAACCAAGGGTTTAAGAAGTATGAATCATTTTGATGATAAGACAAAGATGGTCATTCCACAGCTCCAAGGGCTTACGCCACTTGCAACGTTCAGGATGAATAACATTATACCCTATCCGGTTGTATAATTCGATTTTATCATTAGTTTACTTAGACACAGATGAACTTCAAAATGCTTTGTTTTTAGCAGTAGTCTTAGAGCGTAAAATATTGGTATTTTATAATGTGGAATAGCTGAAGATGTCTATGAACTTTTACAATGATGTGTTATTAGTAAACAATGCTATCTTATCAGATTAAGGCCTACAGTGCACTAGTGAACTGTGGTTGTCTGTCTAGAGTTTTTATTGACACCAATATCATGATAACTAAACAATATTATCAATTCATTGTCAAAAATATTATCTTAGAACAATACTTGTTTAATCGCTATCGTGATTTTATAACGACCGAAAAAACAATGCATCTTTAGACAAAAAGTATCATTCATTTCACACGTGTATGATTTGTGGACATGTAGTTACTGGTAGCATTGGTACTAAGATTATACAATTGATATCTGACAGTTTTTCTATGGTCGTCCTCACGACTTAATTACCAAGGTATTGACTGTTGTCTCTAATATTTTAGTCTCTCTGTAAATAGCCACAAATGTCTGTTTTTATTCTAAACAGAATTTTAATTAAAAGATTTGATCAAAGAAAAAAACGAAGAGATTGTGATCGATACCAGGCGATTTTCTGGAACATATTGTTTTACCAGACGTTAGTGACCAGATATTAGATGTTAGAGTTATACCCCTTTATAGTCGGCAGACGTCTAATTATTGCTTTCTCAACATGAAACATTGATAAAGATTTTGCGTTCTGTTTACACATTGATCTAATCCTATTTTCTTTTTTAGTAGCCGCGACGAAATAGAGGTAAAATTGGTCTGGAGAAGCAGACGGGAGTATTTTGTTAATAAATTATTGCTTCAAGCGAATCGTGGTTGAAATATTACTTTGCGTTATGCCTTTTATACACATCTATATAGACCAGAATTTGCAATGTAGCTATTATTTACTGTCAACATGCATAGGAAAATGAAAGTAGGCTGTCAAGTCCAACTCAATTTTGTCCATACCGGAAGCAGTGACCAGGTAACCTTCTCGTAGCGTTTTATTGCAGATGTTGAATATTTATGGACGCATGACACATGGTTGATCACAACAACCACACATATATCCAGCTACATGCGTGCAATGTACATGTATGATCAAGTTTTTAAAAACTTTCACGATATGTTAATTTACCCTAAATAGCAAACCATATATTCTGGAGTTGGTGAGGTTGGAGATAAGGTCATGTGTATTCGAAGTATACTTGACCTCATTATCCTAATGAGAAGCACCCGAAAGAACCGTGTATAATGTTAACAAGGCATACAAATTAATTAACTATGTCCATTTGAGATCCAGTACACGCAACTGTATTTACTATCTGTTGATACAGGTAAATAGAAGTAAAGGTATGTTAATGACATGATAAGGTGACAGGTGACAAGCCATGATTTGCAATGGCGACCTGTCTTGTTATCGTTTCAAACTTTCTCTTTGATGCTAATCTTAGCTATATAACTGGTTGTAAAAATGTCGTCTGGGTGGTTTAACATCTACTTCAACTCCTCCATTCCGTCTATTTCTGTATCTAGTGTGTATTTCGTAGTAAATTATGTTGACCATAGGACGAACAGTTCATGACCTTCCAAAGTTGCGCCTTGGTCGCAGTTTCAATGGATTGGAAATGGTTTTTATTTTTAGAATACTTGAAGTTTTAGAGTTTTTCTATTCAAATGTTCATGCATCCATGGTGAATTACACCATTGCGGACACAAGACAAAGGTACTAGGTCACGATGCTTCCAAGAAAAACTTAAATGAAATTGGTGGAGAACTAACATTAAAATCTGTCTTCTTTAAACACGGGGCTTCGTCTCTTGTAGTGTGGTGTTGTATCCTATACGGCCTGCTTTTTTGTGTCTAAAAGCAAATAATATTAATATTGATAGTCTTTTAAATATGGTATATATATTTGATCCTTATTTGGCACCCAATTTCATTGACCATGTTTGTTGTTTCAGAACCTGACACAACTGTATCCATTGTTCCTAGAATTCTGAGATCCATTATTTACATTCAAATGAGATGAATTTTAGACGGCGATGCGTTATATGCATTTGAACAATCAACTATCCGCCATTTTATCAAGAATACATCTGGAATCATGTAAACATTCAGAATGTCAATTATCATGTATGATGTTTTAATATAGCTGCATGTCACATTATTGTCAAAAAGTTTAAACTTCGATGGAATATCTTTCAAAATGTCACGAAAATATCCATATTGACATCTTGAAAATACTTGGGAAATGTTTACCATAC